TGAACGATCACATTTTGTAAAATCAGTGCTTAAATAAAAATGATTTAAACTTGAGCCTGAGGTATTTTTCATTATATCTAATCACATATATAAGGTAAATCAACCCAGGTAATTCTATTAATAATATTAAAAAAGAGAAATAACATTTTTAAAGACCAGAAATGGGTATGGGGGAGCATTCACACATTTTTATAACCCAGAAATTCAAGTGATTATGGTGACTTTACAAATGCATTGTGTTGGAGAGCAATTGTAAGGTAGAAAAAGAATGATGAACTCTATAGGTAAAGGGTTTAACTGTATGTAACGATTCTTATGATGCTAAAGTTGATTTGGATTTTAGCTGTTGTTACTACTTAAGTAGTTACTTAATTTACAGAGATCTCAAAAATTGGGTGAGCTGTCTAGTTTTTTATCCTTCCTTTTCAGACAGGGAGAAAGAAGAAGACAAGTGTCTTGTGCAAGGCTTCCAGCAAGGTGAGGCAATAAAAGGATTCACTGTCACAGTGACCAACTTGCCAGGTCATTATTTGACATACTGAGGGGAGGAGGAACCAAGGATCATTTTTTCCCATCATTTGTATGTTGTGACCCCTGAACTGAGGGTATGTAGCCACTGAGCTAGAAGCTACTTGGGTATTATCCAGTAATGAGCTCTGTTTACTCCATGTGTCACTGACATGAGTAAAATGGAATATAAAGTAAGCTATTATTTAAAAATTGCAGTAACTGTTCTTTGAGGGAACTCAGGAATGTAGTTATTAATGAGATTAAAAGGTAGATTAAAAGAATGTGTATGTATCTATCCAAGGAACATGCCTTATAGTAGTAGGATTTAACAAGGATCATCTTTATTCCCTGCCTTACATCAGAGGCCAGAAAAATCACTCTGTGTTACAATAAGCAAAGCTGCTCATCCCCCCCACTCCCCACCAACCCTGGCCTCTAGTCTGAGAAGTCATATGGGAATATGATAAGGAGGCTGAGCTCTCTGAAGCCAGTTTTCGGCTGGTTCTGTTGGCCTGGCAGGTATAGTCATTTTGCCCTGCGGGTGTGGAGTATACATGGGGGGTGGGGGAAAGAGAGAGAAGAGTCACCCCAGACTCTGTGGCTGCTGGGAGATCCAGAGCCTGGACACTAGAACTTGTACTTCTTTGAAACTTTTAACAGGGAAAGGCAGGGACTTCCCTGGTGGCACAGTGGTTAAGAATCTACCTGCCGGGCTTCCCTGGTGGTGCAGTGGTTGAGAGTCCGCCTGCCGATGCAGGGGACACGGGTTCGTGCCCTGGTCCAGGAAGATCCCACATGCCGCGGAGCAACTAAGCCCGTGTACCACAATTACTGAGCCTGTGCTCTAGAGCCCGCGTGCTGCAACTACTGAGCCCACGCGCTGCAACTACTGAAGCCCACACGACTAGAGCCTGTGCTCTGCAACGGGAAAGCCATCGCAATGAGAAGCCCGTGCACTGCAACGAAGAGTCGCCCCTGCTCACTGCAACTAGAGAAAGCCCACGTGCAGCAATGAAGACCCGACGCAGCCAAAAGTAAATAAGTAAATTAATTAATTAAATATTTTTTTAAAAAGAGGAAAAAGCAAAGCCATGTGTTTTTATAAACTTTTTCCCATATTATAGATTTGGGAGTTTTTATACATTTTATTACCAAAGATTTCTAACTCAGTGCTTCAAAGTTTTCTACATGAATTTTTAAACATGAAAAAGTGTAGACATATTTTAAAATAGAGTAAAATAGGGCATTCAACCCTTATGTACTGATCACCCAGATTTAACAGTTACCAAGATCTTGCCAGTTACATCATATAATCTCCCATTTCCTTTTTCTTTGCTAAAGTATTTAAAAGCAAATCCCAGATAGCATGTCATTTTGCCCCTACATCCTCCAGTAAACATCTCTAGAAAATATGGTCATTTTCTTGTAGAAACCAAAATGCCATTATCACACCAAACAAAATAAACTATGATTTCTTGGTATCACCTAATACCAAATCAAATTGTTCTGAAGGTCAAGAATGTCTGTGGACAGTAATTTTGTTCTAATCAGTGATCCACATGAAGTCCACCCATCGCACCTGGTTGTTGTGTCTCTTTAAGCTTTCAGTCTAGAGCGAGCAAGCCTCCTGCCCTCATTCCCTCTTTCTCTCCATATCAGTGACTTACTGTAAAAACCGAGTCCTGTAGAATATTCCACCTTCTGGATTTGTTTGTTTGCTCCCTTGTGGTGTCACTTAAATTGTTTCATTGTACCTTGAATGGAAACCTTTCCCTCTATTTTGAATGTAAGTCTGAGAGGCTTAGAAACTATTAACCTGTACTGTGTATGGCACCGTGGAGAGAGCAGGGTACAGCTAATAATTGCAGTTGTCAGGACCTGAGAATGTAGCTACTAATTAGCATCTATGTGAGAATTTGACATAAGGTCCATGTTAAGGGGTGTCGCATCTGCTGGAACTCATGAACTTTAGAGAATCAAAGATCCCGTATCAGAAGTCTGTGGTAATACTCCTTGTGGTACATTCCAACAGAATGACTCCCCAGACTTGCTCTAAGTAACTGACATTTCAACTTAAAAGAGACATTGCCAAAGTTGGAGGCCCCAACTTTCCTTCTGTTCCAAATCTTTGTGATGACAGTGGTTTCTCTGATGTGGCAAGCTTTGGTTTCCCTCTTTTTTCCTTTTAAATGATCACTGGAGTAGAGGGGGTTTAAATAGCTATGACCTATGACCCTTTGCATGACCTCTATAGATAATAAATCAGGGCAGCACGTTTGACAGTGTCCTTTTCTAAAATGAAGTTAGCGAAAGTTCTGAAAATTGTGGTTACTCTCTGACGATAGAATTTAGGAAATCTTTAGATAAATAGAATAAGCATGATTCTTTATGTTTTTGCTTGAGACAAAAAGCAGCAGCATGTATGTTGCATATGGACACACACCTGACCTTCGGCAGTGTGCTGAGGTATTGGACTACTAGTGTTAATGTGGAGCAGTCTGTATATGTTCTAATCCAGAGTTTAAAAATATACTAGTTGAACTCTATAACTTTCAGTTTTGTAAAATTTCTGCAAAACAGCAAGAGGTGTAATAGGGTTTGGATATAGTATGTGAACTTTGTGTTTCAATTCTAGTTACATGTAACTAGGAATGACTCTTGGTCAGAAGACTAGAGTCACCAAGCTGCCGTGCCTACTGACTGTGTGCAGCGGCTAAGGTGGTGCTGCTCAAGTCAGGGAGAGTGTAAGTTGCTGCTAACAGGGCAGAAGAGGTGGCCCTTTAGCTTCTCACCCAGGGTGCTTGTCCCGCCCACCTAGCCACAAGAAGATGCGGGTGATTTCAGTAGGCCTGGATAAGCTGGTTACTTCTGAGTCCACTCATCAGCTGGAGTTCCAGCCCCAGAATAGATTTCTTCATCAGTGACTTCAGAAAACACATTCAGGGGCTTCCCTGGTGGCGCAGTGGTTAAGAATCTGCCTGCCAATGCAGGGCACACGGGTTCGAGCCCTGGTCTGGGAGGATCCCACATGCTGCAGAGCAGCTAAGCCCGTGCACCACAACTACTGAGCCTGTGCTCGAGAGCCTGTGAGCCACAACTACTGAGCCCATGAGCTACAACTACTGAGCCCCGTGCCACAACTACTGAAGCCCGCACACCTAGAGCCCGTGCTCCGCAACAAGAGAAGCCACCGCAATGAGAAGCCTGCACATTGCAACGAAGAGTAGCCCCTGCTCGCCACAACTAGAGAAAGCCCGCCTGCATCAACAAAGACCCAACGCAGCCAAAAATAAATAAACAAACAAATAAAAAGAAAACACATTCAGCTGTGGTTGGCTGTGCTGATACTGTACACCAAGAACAGCTGGTCTCTTCTTGACTGCTTCCAGCTAGCCATCTTTCCTCACCCCTCCAAGCATCTTGAAAGAATTTTTTACATTCTTAATCTCTTCATTTCTCCCCAAAAGTGTGCTTTGGAGCTTAAGGAGTGGAATCATAGTAGTGTATCCTTGGGATTCCTGGAAATAGAATCCCACTAGGCTCAGCTACTTGAGTGAGCGTAAGGATCCCTGAGGTACATTCACATAGCACAGATTTACCGAGGGCCTCCTATATGGCCCGGCGGGATTAGGCACATTGTTGAATTGGGGCGGGTGGAAACAGAGATGGAGAACTGATTCAGGCTCTCTCTGAGCAGCTGCTCCAGGAGGCCACTGTCAGGGTGTGGGCAGGAGCCCAGAAGGTGTCAGGGGGCATATGACCAAAGGAGGCAGTAGGAGGAGCTTGATCCCTGAGGGAAAGAATATAGACTAAGACAGTGAGGCCAAGGTTTGAAGCCTGGGGACATTAATCAAAGTGTTTCTTAAAGCTTTGCTGTTGATGATTTTAAGTGGAGAGATTGGTAAGATGTTATTTCCCAGTTCAGTATACCGCTTGCCTACAAGAGTGTTTTTCTTTGTGAGATGGTCGTGTTCACTTGTTTCAGAATGCCTGGGGCAGTGGAGGTGGTGACGTGGTCACCTCCTTTTATTATGGCCCAAGGAATTTGACCAATTTGGCCAACTAAACATTTAATTCAACACAGGGCTACCCAGAAGCCTCTGTCTTGATTTGCCTTGGAAGCCAAAGGGGCTAGGAGAAGGAGAACGAGAGAATATATTAATCCCAAGAATTGAACAGAGCAAAAATCCCTATTGCTCTTGTACCTAAAACATCTCTACCCCAAGGCTCGTCCCTTACACTCTCTTTAGGTGGTTCGTATATGCACATTCTGTGTCTCCAATTAGCCAGTGCTGGGCATGGATAACTTCTTTTTTGTTTTTTTTTTGCGGTACGCGGGCCTCTCACTGTTGTGGCCTCTCCCGTTGCGGAGCACAGGCTCTAGACGTGCAGGCTCAGCGGCCACGGCTCACGGGCCCAGCCGCTCCGCGGCACGTGGGATCCTCCTGGACCGGGGCACGAACCTGCGTCCCCTGCATCGGCAGGTGGACTCTCAACCACTGCGCCACCAGGGAAGCCCCAGGCATGGATAACTTCTGCTCCTCCTGTTTCTTGGGTTCTAGCCCCAAAGCCATCAAAATCTTTCCTTGTCCTTACGGGTGTCTCCAGTGCTGTGCCCTGGCTGTGTGCTCTTGCTCTTAGAAGCCCAGAGAATTTTGCTTTCCCCTCTTCTATGACCCTTAACCTATTCTAACACATTATTAAGGGCCTCTGTCTGTCAGTTGGGGGCACTTCCTGAAGGAGGGGCTTTTGTCTGGCCTGTCTCTCAGCTTTAGCCCGGAGCATCACAATTGCAGGGTGCTTGTGACTCTTTTGCTGAACAGAGGTGCTCGGTCTCCTTGGGAAGAGAGGATCTGTGGGTAGACCAATGGGGAGCTCTCCTCTCCAGGGGCCTGCCGGCTAGTAACATACCAGAATGTCCAAGAGTGACTTCATAAAGCAACGATGCCCTCTGTGGACACTCCTCTGAGGCCTCTTGGAATCTAGATGCTGAGGAGATTCCTAAGCAGAGATTTTCTGTTGGATGGTAAAAGCAAGGAATAAAAATTGAAAATTTGGAAAATGTCTCAACACTTTTATCACCAGAACCACACAAGAGTCATTTCTAGCTCACTGTTTGAGAATGTGTCGCTGCTGTTCTATGAGACGTTATGGAAATTTCAGTAAATACTCTTTATTTCTCTTTCTTGTTTATAAGTGTGCAAATGGCAGTGTTGGGTCTCGTAGCCTCTTCCCACAGGCACTCATCCACTTCCCAGACTGAGGGGCTCGTCCTGGATAATCTGATTTCTGCAACTGGTGAGGCTGGTGAAGTCTCAGCCAAACAGTTGTTTCCTCGGCTTTCATATCACAATTGGCTGTTAATCAAACATTCAGTCACACTCTTAATTTGACCTGTAGACTGAATGACTAGTTTGACTCCATTTTGTCCTTTTTTATTCCCTACTATGTTAGATAATTTGAAGCCTTTTTTTGGGTAATAGACCTGATTTCAAATCAGATAATGAAAATTATATATCTTGTTTTTAATAGGTTATAAAAGTATATAAATCTATATTTTTTTTACTGTGTGAGACTGGGTTCGCTTGTTACATATAATGGGGAAAAAGTAATGCATACGCTGAGAAAAATTGGAAAGCACAGATAAACGTAAATAAACAGGAAAAAGAATTACCTATAACCTCACTATCCGTAGGCAGACAATAGCAACATTTTGGCTTACTTCATGCCGAATTTTTTTCTACCTATTTTGCACAATTAAGATAATTTTGAGTAGAGAATTTTTATCTTGCTTTGTTTCTATTTTGCTATCCAGTGGCTCATAAACATTTTTCTAAATCATGAAAAATGCATAGACATGTTGTAGTGTCTGTATAATATTCCATGAAATGGATATGCCATGATTTACTTAACCTGTCCTTTTTGGTTACACTTTTAAATTGTTTCCAAATTCTCACAGCAAATATTCCTGGGATAAACATGTTTGGCTAAAGTCACTGTTTGCATTTCAGATTGTATTCTCTTGGGGTAGATTCCTTGGGTCTGAGGATACAAACAGAACTAAGGCTTTTCAGAAAAGTTGGTCAGTTTACATTCCCCTGGCAGTTTATGAGACTGCTCCGTTGCACTACACTCTTGCCAGCACTAAATGTTATCACATTTAAGCCTTTGCTAATTTTATAAGCAAAATCACTGGTTTTACTTAATTTGTACCTCCCCGATCATGCCATTGTATTTCTTTAATGAGTTGACTGTGTGTTTGCCCATTTTTTCTTAGGGTGGTCAGTTTTTTATAATTGATTTGTAAGCACTTGTATGGCTGATTATTTGATTAGCAGTTTTCCCTACTAGACTGACAATATTTAGTTTTGCTTACCTGTATCCCAAGTGCCTACTGTATAGCCTGGCATGTAGTAGTCATTCAATAAAAACTTGTTGAATGAATAAATGAGTGAGTTGAACAGTAGTTACTTAATAAAAATTTGTTGAACGAGTAAATGAAGATGGTGCTTTGTTTTGCTTGAGGCGGAGTGGTAACCATTCTTTTTCACAGGTCTAGAGAGGAGGAACTGAGCAACTGAGTGGGGACAGACCCACCCAGTAATCGTCATACATATTTCAGTGGTCATTAAGTCAGCATTGCATTGCAATTTTAAAGTATATGTAGATTTATAGTCACAGAAGGGGGAAAGCAGACCCTAGTCCCTAAAAAAAAGTGTGCATTGTGCATTACCTTACAACAGAGCTATAAGATAATCATACCTCTTATTCAAATTTTTGACAGGAGGAAAGATACTCAGTGTCAGGCATTTGTGAAGAGAGTTATAATGAGTCGTCTCTTTAAGATAATTATGATTAGCACCGTCTCAACGAATGCCTTTTTTATGGTCTTGTGGACTGATTATAAAACAAGATACAACTTGTTCAGACTTTTTGAGGTAAGCAGACAAAATGGGTCCATTTTCTTCTGTTTTACCTGTTTTATTTCTGAAAATGTTATAAGATTTTTAAGGCATTTTGTTCAAAAAGTTTTTCTGTAGAAAGATTCTAAGGACTATTAAAATATACTCTAATATCTGGGAAGATGGTGGCAGCAGTAGTAGCAGTGACATGGTTTTTTAATCTCCCTGAATCCCCTCTTAAAAAAACAGAGCAACTAGATAGCAAAACCAAAAACCCACGGACAGGATTTATATCAAAACTAGTTAACAAGAGATCCTTACCAAGAGCCACACTGCATAGTATTAGCATCTGTAGGAGAGGAAGCAGAGGGAAGTCAGTAAGTATTCATTGGAAAGTATGATGGGCTGATGTGAGAACAGCAGTTGATATTAGGAAGGGTGTTACCTAATCAAATACTGGGATAGCACAAGAGGTTCCCGAAATTTATGAAGGGGCTAGAACAGTCCAGACCCTATAAACTTTTAAAACTGACTCTCCACAGCTCCTTTCAAGGACAGTGCTCCACATTTAGGAGAAGTATTGGGAGTGGAATGAAAATTGAACAGGTTAGAGACCCAAAGATGAAGGAAGAGAGGTTCTGATAAAATTGGAAGAGGGGAACAGCACCAGGAAACCTTAAAAATCAAGCAACCACATTTTAAATCAAGAGGGAATATTTGAAGTTAGAATCACATTTTCTCAAAGTCCAAGAAAACTAATTTCACATAAAAAAGTGCAATAGGAAAAGATTGAGGTAAAATCCCATACAAAATTATTATAAGAAAAAAGAGAGTAAAGTGGAAAATAATATCATTGTAGATAATGAAAGCCCGCCACAAAGACATGTTCACAAACCAGATAAAAACTGTACCGTATTATTTCAGAAGAAGGTAAATGTTTAAGAAAATGATGTTAGATAGGAAAGAAAAGAGTGAGGTGACAAAAGTCAGGAAATAATTAGAAATAAAAGAAACTCATTTCAAAAATGAAGACTGAATTAGACTAAGAACAATTAGATATAGCAGGTAATAGCTTAAGAGAAATTAAGAGAAATATAAGATTAAGTGGGGGAAATTCTTAAACATCAGTAAGAAATGAAGAGATAAGGATTCAAGAGAAAATGATGAAAATTGAAAATTGGGGAAAAATGATCCAACTTAAGGGTAATAGGAGTCCCTGAATTTGAAACAGAAACAGAAACAAAGTAAAGGAACAGAATAAACACTAAAATCTAGGGACTTCCCTGGTGGTCCAGCGGTAAAGAATCCACCTTCCAATGCAGGGGACGTGGGTTTGATCCCTGGTCAGGGAACTAAGATCCCACACGCCACAGCACAACTAAGCCTGAGCTCATGCACCTCAACGGGAGAGCCTGCATGACGCAAACTACAGAACCCATGTGCCCTGGAGCCTGCATACCACACTAGAGAGAAAGCCCACGTGCCACAACTAAGACCAACATAGCCAAAAAAAAAAAATCTAAAATCTAAGAAAAGTTACCTGAAATAAAAGAATTGAAACTATATTTTGAAAGTTGCATATTGAGAATATGGACTTATACAACAAACACCAGAACATATTCTACTAAAATGATTGGACTTTAAAGGAAAGAGGTGTGGGGGAAATTATAAGCATCTAGGCAAAGTGGCTTATAAGGAAAAGAAAATTAATTATTATCAGACTTTGCTATAGTAATACTTTATGCTAAAAGAAAATGGAGTAAAACATTTAAGATACTTCAGGAAAGAAAATGTGAACCAAGAGTTCTAGATCCAGCAAAACTGACTTTCAAGTATAAAGGACATAGACAAACTGTCATCAACGTTAAAAAGCTTCGCTAATATTGTTCCCATGAGCCCTTCCTTATGAATCTAGTAAAGAATAAGTTTCAGCCAACCAAAATGACTAAAGAAGTATCAACATTAGGACTGGCAATGGACATTTAAAAATATGATTATTTATAGAACTAATCATAATTATGGGTGAACAAGGAGATAATGTAGCACCTAATGAATATATCCACTGACAGTGAAGATATAGTATTGATTAAAAATGGGTAAGAATGGGGAGAGTCAATGCAAAAACTATTTTTAACCATTTTCGGAAATCAGCTTTGTGGTGATGCTATTAGTAGTATTATTCTGAGACTGCTGTGTGTGTAACACAAGGATAAAGCAGATGGGTAATTATGGGACAGTTTAATTCTGTTATCCTCTGTGTTCTTGAGAACCAGGTTATTCATGGAAGGAAGGAGATATGGATGTAATATAGACAAAGTTAAGTGAAAGCCCTGTAGTTCTGCATTTAAACTGGAAATATCAATATAAACTACTGAAGTATTTTACCTTTATCCATTGAAAAATCTAGAACAATGACCAACTTAACAGTTATGCATCCTTAGTGCCCATAATGTGATTGTTTTTTAAATTAATTAATTAATTAATTTTTGGCTGCGTTGGGTTTTCGTTGCTGCATGCGGACTTTCTGTAGTTGTGTCGAGCGGGGGCTACTCTTCTTTGAGGTACGCGGGCTTCTCATTGCAGTGGTTTCTCTTACTGCAGAGCACGGGCTCTAGGTGCGTGGGCTTCAGTAGTTGCGGAGCGTGGGCTCAGTAGTGGCACACGGGCTTAGTTGCTCCGTGGCATGTGGGATCTTTCTGGACTAGGGATCGAACCCGTGTCCCCTGCATTGGCAGGCGGATTCTTAACCACCGCACCACCACAGAAGTCCCATAATATGATGTTGATATACTATTTCTCACTAAAAGAAGCTAGGAATTCTTAGAGAAATGGCTGATTGTAGGTCTAGGGTAGAAAATATACCAGATGAGCTAGGAATATCTTGTTGTACACATAGCAAGGAAGCTATCAAAGATTACTGGGGTCATGTCAAAAGGGCTCAGGGGACAGCTTGAAGAGGCTCCTACTGGCCAAAGATGGGAAACTTTGAGCTCAATAAGGATAATAATTACAGTAGATTTTGAAATTCATCAAATAATCTGTAAGCTTATAATTATACTAAAAAAGCTAACAGGTCACTTTTGGATGGTGACAAGGACCTAATACTTTATCTCAAAAATTGTTGAATTAAGGGAAAAAATCAAGTATTACTGACCTTTCTTATATGAACTGTATTACTGAGTAACCACATAGTAGGTAAGGGGAAGCATGTCTTTATAGAAATATCCTAGTTAATAAATGAAAATGAAATGACAGAATGTTACAATTTTTCAACCCCCAATGAGTTATAGGACTTAGGCATTTTGACCATTAGTGACTGCTTCCCTCATAAAAGAGACAACCAGACATTATATGCCTGCTATGAAAGAACAGAACCTATAACTTTTTTTTAAAATTTATTTTATTTTTGGCTTTGTTGGGTCTTCATTGGTGCACACAGGCTTTCTCTAGTTGCGGCGAGCAGGGGCTACTCTTCGTTGCGGTGCAAGGGCTTCTCATTGCGATGGCTTCTCTTGTTGTGGAGCACAGGCTCTAGGCATGCAGGCTTCAATTGTTGCAGCACGTGGGCTCAGTAGTGTGGCCCGCGGGCTCTAGAGCGCAGGCTCAGTAGTTGTGGCGCATGGGCTTAGTTACTCTGCAGCATGTGGGATCTTTCCAGACCAGGGCTCAAACCCATGTCCCCTGCATTGGCAGGCGGATTCTTAACCACTGTGCCACCAGGGAAGTCTCAGAACCTATAATCTTGCCATAAAGATCAAACCTGAATCTGATCAAGGCTTTTCATCCAGCTGCCTATTTTCAGGCAACAGAGGACAGAGGAACATGAGTGTGCAGTCAACACGATCCAGACTGGGAAATTCTGCAAGTCAAGAAAAGTTTCTATTGATAGCTTTTTTTCTTGTGTAAAGACCATACATTCTTGTTTCTCTGCATGTCTCATGATTTCTTTTTTGGGGGGTTGAAAATTGGACACTTTAAATCATATAAGATTGGAAACTCTGGAAACCAGATACTCCCCCCTCCCTAGGGTTTTATTTTTGTTGCCATTCCTTTTTTTTTTTTTTAAGTGACTTTCCTGAACTAATTCGATAAAGTGTATATTCTTTGTCATGTGTGGCCACCAAAGTCTCTGCTCAGTTAGCTTAATGGTCTGCTAATGATTGAACAGAGTATTCCTTAAATGCCTGGAACAAATAAGTCTCCCAGTCTTTGCCAAGGCATGTATTTAATGCATCAGCAGTTTACAAGTCCGCCTTAGCCTTCATTCGCTGCTTGCAAAGAATCTTAAGATTAGTTAGAGGTGACAGATCAGGGCCTTCTCAGTACTTTCCTGGTACCTTCATCGGGATCCCTAAGAGTCTTAATAACTTCTCAGTTTTATAGTTAGCCAGGGGCTTTCATACATGTTATTTTCAATGATCTCAACAGCCACCCTGGAAGGTGTATATTAATAACACTATTTTACAAATGTTGTAAGGAAGCCCATCTGTTGGACTTAGGATTTCAAAAAAAAAACCCCAAATCTAAAGAACTAAAGGAAAGTAGGAGAGCAGTGTCTCACCAAATAGAGAATATGAGTAAAGAGAAATTATTAAAAAGAGCCAAGCAGGGCTTCCCTGGTGGCGCAGTGGTTGAGAATCTGCCTGCCGATGCAGGGGATACGGGTTCGTGTCCCGGTCCAGGAAGATTCCACATGCCGCAGAGCGGCTGGGCCCATGAGCCATGGCCGCTGAGCCTGGGCATCCGGAGCCTGTGCTCCGCAATGGGAGAGTCCACAGCAGTGAAAGGCCTGTGTACCGCAAAAAAAAAAAAAAAAAAAGAATTCATGAGAGGACTTCAACAGCAGGTTTGAGCTAGTGGAAGAAAGAATTAAAGAACAGAAAGATAGGTCAACTGAGATTTCCAGTGTGAGGAACAGAAAGTAAAATGAATTAATAAAAATGAGCAGAGACCCATGAAACACCATCAAACATACAAACATGCATGCAACAGGTGTCACAGAAGGAGAGGAGAGAAAGGGTAGAAAGAATATGTGA